TTGCTCCACCTTTACATTAGGAATTTAGGATCCATCTGAATTTCCTTTCACTTATTCTTTTGATACAAACATTATTTTTATTTTTATTTTTATTTTTTTTACAATTAAACACATAAATATTTCTACATGCATTGCTGAATCTTGGGTGATATGCTAAATGAAGTGTATCAATTATTTGATTTATCTTCTTTCAGTCTGCGTTGGAGTTGCAGAGAGCTGTACCAGTTCTTTATGTACTGAAAAAAAGAAGAGAATTAGCATGAAATTTCATGTTGAAAACTCAAGACTTGACACTATCAGAAGAAAAGAGCAAGGCACAACGTGGGTAAACCAAGTTTACTATCACCACAACGAAGAAACTGCTACAAGTAATTCATGTTGTCAACTGCATTTTTCAACAAGTCCAACCTTTGCAACACAGTGGTTTTTTTTTTTTTTTTTTTTTTTTAAATTCCTCATTTATTTGCCTCTATATATATATATATACACACACACACACAAAAGTATATTATGTAGCACTAGAATCAGAAAAAATGTTCTCAGACGGTAGGTTGATTATAACCACAAGAATAGTTTTCTACAGCTAAAATATTTTGTGATAGCTGCTGGTGTCGAAACTTGTGTTGCACAGAACACTCAATCCCTGGTCCAGCTCCAGGCATGGACTATTGTGAATAAAAATGAAGAACCGGTATGTGAAGAATAAATGAATAAAATGCCTAGGCCAGCTCCACATATGGACTATTGTGAAGGTCTCCAGGCTTCCATTTGTTTCTCAAATTTGAAATATATTGGGTTTGGAAGCTTAAAAATACGTTTTCTCAAATACGAGCCTGTTAAAGCATCCATGTGGCAGCTAATCACACCAATTACGTTGAATCCTTCTTTCTGCAGAACTGCCCTTCGTCTAGAGAAATATTCATTGGTATCCATTTGCGTTTCATCATCTGGCCTGCAAGAATGCTGATAATTGAAACCAAGTGGCTAGGCAATCTTAAAATATAAATAAGAGCTGATATTATTACACACTGAATTAGTAAGCAGCCAACAGAAATTCATCAAACAAAATATGGATGTGCTCTCAATCCAGTTCCTACCATTAAAGATTAAAGATTAAAAAACACGGAGAGGGGAAAACCTCAATCTGGGATTTCTAAGGTTGTAAGCAAGTAGTTTGTAAATAGAAAATACCTCATGATCAGAGAAAACCAGCCACTGTATCCCGCAGAAATGAGGCGTTCAGCAGTGGAATTTCGTACTCTCTGAGGCTTCCTTGATAATAGAATCAACGGCCACCCTCTGGACCGAAGTCTTCTGTATAATTGCAAGGTTAGCAGGTGTTTCAGTTGTTTTGCATCTTCAATACAACCATTGCAGCCATAACGTTCAAATCTGTCCCAGAACAAATTTTAAAGTGATGCATGATAAATAAACAGTAAAATCCTTCAAGTAAAGTCATTAAAATATGAAAGGCAAAACTAGTGAATAACAGAACAAGTTTAGAGAGCAGTGCAAAATTAGTGAATAACACAAATTTCATTTTTCCTGTGGCTGCTATATAACACAAGGTTGTTCCCCAGAGACCTTCCACTACGAAAACAAACCAAAAGGAGAGGTGAAGGCATATCCTGGTCACCCACGTCAACATGTTATCCCAGAAAAAGAAAAACAAAACGCATTAACTTTCAATGGCATGCCTGACCACCCAAATGGTAACATCGATTGAACTGGAGGAAAATTCAAAACATAGCAAATGTGTTGAACATTTGAGGGAATTACTGGCACATTAATTGATTTCTGTAAGCGGGGTCTGGAGAAAAAAGGTTACCTATGTCCATTAGCACCACATCTGGACCATCATGCAATGGTGTAAGAGAATGGAAATAACTCTCAATCATCCACATTGTGAAATTCAAATCCCTTGCATATCGTCCTTCTCTGATATATTCAATAGCAAGACTCCTGCAAACTGAAGGAAGCTCATGTGCCTCCAAACTATTAAGCTCTGCTTGTAGATAAAAAATTTTGCAATAGCTCTGATAATTACTTGGTTTTTGAATCTCAACAATTCCTTTGCTCCTGCTTTGACAGGTCTGCAACATTACGGCTAATGTAATCAGCAATGTTATAAACAATACCTCAACAGTTACAAGCAAACCAATGAAGATCATTGCCGCAAAAGAAGTCATGTAGAATCCTGACTCTTCAACATAGGGGCTTCCCACTCTGCTGCCAAGGAGAAATACCAAGAAATATATCAGAACCAGATATTAAGATATCAAAAGTTTCACCAGTAGCATTTAGATAGATAAACACCATTTGGGAAAATGTTAATAAACGGTGAAAACCAAAGAAAAAAAAATGAATGCAGATATATGATCCAAAATCTGAAAACATGAACTTGAAGCGGATGAAACTATGTAGAAAGAACAAAGATTTTGGGTAGACGAAGCAAAAATGTTCTGGATTTTGGTGAAGTAAAGAATTTACTGCAGCAATCTAACAATAACATCCACAAATTCTCTGTACAATTATGTTTTCTTTTGTGTACACTATCTTGATTGCTTCTGAGTAGAGATATCGAATCCATGAATCTTCCTCTAAGCACGTCCACAAGGAAAGTAAACATGCCTGAATCTCCCCTACTTGAGAGACTCCGGCTGAGAACTCCCTCTCCATTTGATGGGCATAAGCTGACATTTTTTTTGCTTTCTATTTAGCCTGAAAGTATCTTCTCAAACATCCGGCTGCAAAGATCCCCAGATCCCAATCCAGATCCCTTCCAAATCACAGAAGGGTCACCTGCCACGAAATCATTCGAATAACTAACTACAAAAAGATTTCCACATAAATAAAAAAATAAACTAAAAATCACAAGCAAGCTTCATTGAACATGCTAGGGGCTACCAGAAACTCATCTAAAATGGTTACTGAAAATGAAGATAATAAAGGCAGCACTTCCTAAAACTTTCCTCACTTCCACAGAAAAGAATTTAATCAAAGTCATATAGTATCAAAAGTTCCTATCTTTCTTTCTTCTTACAACAAAATACCATTTTTGTTTATACTCTTGATTCTTGACAGTTTCATTTTGCAACCAAAACCAACACAAGATCCAGTCAGCCAAAACATGAAATCAATTTTCACACGATATAACCAACCAATCATCCACATTCACTAAAAGTATGAAAAGGGTCCACAAATCTTCAACAAATTAGATATTTTAACTTCCAATTACAGCAATCATCATCTGATTTTGCAATCAACTAACAGCATGACCCAGAAAGTTGACTACCACTTATATAAAAGAAGACAACAATAATATAAAACAATACCTAACCAATCAAATTCTCTGCTTATAGTAAGACAAATCTAAGCTTTCTCATAGTCTTCAATTCTACTACCTTAGACTAGAGAGAGAAGGGGAGAGAGGACAAAGGAGAACCTTGAAAGAGAAATTGAATAAATGGGAATCTCTGAAAAGTAGCTACAGTTAAGATAATTAATCGCTGAGCTATAGGCATTCTTTATTGTTTTGTTTCTCGTGGGGGTTGCTTTCTGTAAAGATGGTGAGGGTTGTCCTTGTCCACGGCCCTTGCCAGAGACAATGATGAATTGTGATTATCCATGTGTGGGAGACTCTCCAGTCACTCTAGCTGAATTCGTCGGGGTAATTTCGTCTTAAAGTTTTTCTATATAATTGCATTTTTTCACTGACAACAGCCTATTAAAATTTAAGTATATATCTATTTATATAATTATGTCATAATTATAAATTATAATATTATCTATTTTTTAATAACCAAAAATTTTAATATTTCATTTTCTCATTTTGCTTGTAATTATAACCATCAATTCATTTATTAAAATCACCTAAATTATATTCTATTTTATTGATATTTATATTTTTTTTTTCTTAAAAACATTGTTACTCTTATTATATTTTTCATCCTTGTTTGGTTGATAAGAAGATATCAATGACTGCATTTATATCTTGGGGTTACATTACAAAGACACGAGTTCCGTCTGATGAACGGGGAAAATTGTCTAAACCCCTGCTTTCTATGAATTTTTGGGCAACTAATATGTAAGTTCCAAAATTGTTAAGAATGAACGTTACAGGAGAGAGGTGAGTTGGTGGGGTCTTTGCTGGCGGCACCGAGTCTCCGTTTGTCATACATCTATAATATTGCCAACTTCCTTGTCCATTCAATGGCTGAATCTACTGTTCTGGCCAATTCGATTGCTGCTCCAACGTAGGAATGTGGTGTTAAATTCAGAAGCCGGGTCTTTGCTTCTTCAGGTACTTCCAGGCCTTGGATAAATTCTTGTATACTTTCTTTGGTAACTGCTCTTCCTCTAGTTAGCTCCTTTAGCTTCTCGTAAGGCTCTGGAACGCCGTATCTTCGCATGACCTATGCAGATTAATCAAAAAAGTAATGCTGGTTAAAGAGATATCAAAAGAGGGAAAAAAAAAAAAAAAAGTGACAAGGAATAACTTTTATAAAAGAAATATCTGGAGGACTTGCTTTTTCTATTAACCAAAATAAAAAAGAAAAGAAAAGAAAAGAAAAGAAGAATCATTACGAAATGTGCATTGATTTGAATCGTCACCTTTTGAAAAGAATATGAGAAACCAACTTAAAGAACCTGCTTTACAAAAGAAAATATCTATTCCAAACCAGTATTTAAGGTCCATATACACTATTCAGCAATTATATGTTTGTTTCTACCTAGAGATGATTATATTCGGTCGCTAGCATCCTATCAATGCTACTAATGCAGTAAGGTTGGAAGAAGTAACCAGTAAATACATTTCAGTACACAGAGAGACATAGGAATCAAGGGACAGAGAACAAAAAGAAACTAGAAGATACATACAGTCTGTATTGGTTCAGCAAGCACCTCCCATGATTGGTCCAAGTCTTCACTCAAGCGAGCCTCATTGACCTGAAAAGTAAAATGAGTTAAATTTCCACTAAAGGAATTCAATACTGCAACTTGGAAGACTGGCAATAGTCATTGCTTGATGGATAAACATGAGTTAACATTATTAAGCAGTAAATCATGAGAAACTATAATATGTTCACATAAGTGACTATCCAATAAAACATAGTCTCTCTGGCAATTCATTGTATGAACATAGCACACAAATAATTCCCAACCATGTGCTTTCCAAGCAATTGGAACTTCTGTGCAATACCAGACCTGAAGCTTTCCTATTCCTTGCAATGCACTTTTGTAAGCAAGAAGAGAATGTCCTAGTCCTCCACCCATGTTTCTCAAAACAGTTGAATCAGTCAAGTCTCGCTGCAAAATGAAATAGACAGAAGATGTGATCCACTAATAAGCTCTGAACCATACATGTATTATGTATAAAGTTAAAGAAGCTACATAAACTACTCCTTGAGGCTTAGTTCATTATCATTGCCCAGTTATAGTCCGATGAAACAGCATTCTCCATCATACATGATATGTGGTTTTTTATTATATAACTTAGCTTTTGCAGCCATAAAATAGACATACAAGAAATCAAATCATAAGCTCTCACGGTAAGAATCTGTTGAACATGCCATAACTATGGATTCAGTATCTCCACTGATTAGAGCATAAACAACCTAGGGTAATTCAATTATCTACAAATTGAGGAAACAATGTTAAAAGCAAAACTATTGAGGGTTTACCTGCCAACGTGAAATAAGCAACTTCCTGCTCAGGAAAGCCAGATCTTCATTAGCCTTACCAAGATTACCTTCACTATTTTCAAAATCAATAGGATTTACTTTGTGAGGCATTGTTGAAGACCCAATCTCACCAGCCTTAGTTATCTGCTCCAAGTTTTGAAGATGAAAAGATTCAGTTTTCTTGTATAAGATAAATTACTCTGGGTTGTCCATCATCACACTACAACACTAACCTGCTTAAAGTATCCTAAAGATATGTATCCCCATATATCTCTATCAAAATCAATCAAGATATCGTTAAACTGGACAATTGCATTAAAAAGTTCAGCCATGTAGTCATGGGGCTCAATCTGCGAAACAAGCAAAAAGTAAATATATCAATCAAAAGAATGAATCAAGACTTTGATAAGATGACATAATAAAGAGTCATCCATTTGACATGCTCTCAAAAGGCCCTCATTGGTTGTTAAAAGCAAGAAGTGATTTACCCACAATTTCAATATTTATGTGGCAAGCCTTTAGATTTATCCTAACAATTTCTTAGCTTGAATTAACATATTCCAGATGAACTGCATGAGCTAATTGTAATGGACATCCTTAGAGGCATCAGAGCAAAATGATGATTGTATCACCTCATCATTTTTTCTGTGCACCAAGCAGAACAGTGTAAGAAAAATACCTGAGTGACATAAGGATTAAACTGCAAGCCAAGAGACTGTACAAAATCTTCTGCAATTTGTGGCCAGTTAATTTCCGGGTACGCAACAAGATGAGCATTGTAGTTTCCGACTGCACCAGCAAATTTCCCCATTAACTCCACTTCAGAAACATTTTGCCTTTGTCGGCTTAGCCTGAAAGCAAAGATTGCCATTTCCTTCCCTAGAGTTGTTGGTGAAGCTGTCTGCAACAAATAAGTAAAGCAATCAATTGCTGACTGTTATTGCTAAGACTAAGCACAATCTAAATCAAAAGATAATTGTGAATAGGGAAGAAATACAAGTTGATAGAACCAAATAAAATGTGGAATCTGTAAGAAAATCTTGCATATCCACCATTTTTTATACAGAAGATATGCAAGAGTTGAAAATATTTTGGGAATAAGAATGATTCTCTTTTTCCCTTGTATGGTTCACATCAACATGAAAGTCCAATACTTATATATATGTATAGACACACGTATATGTTCCCTTTGTGTGTGTGTGTGTGTGTGTTTTGAAAAGGAAGTCCAAGCCTTAATGCCACAATCAATGCCATTTTCTCATAGAATGCTAGTACAATAATGGTTTAACATAATTTATCACAAACAATAGTAACTCTTTTACCTGGCCATGAGTGCGTGAAAGCATGGGAATGTGAGCATTACGCTTTGCCAGGTTACATATTGCCTCAATCAATTTATCCATGGATGGTAAAATGACTGTGCTCACTGCTTCTTTCAGCATCAAGGCATGGGCAAGGTTGTTTATGTCCTCAGATGTGCAAGCAAAATGGAAAAACTCTAGCACCTGCAATGAGCAGTTATTTGTAAGGTGACCCAAAAATGGCCCAAACAATTTACTATACAAACAAAAATTTTAAGGAAATATAAAAAGTAGCCACATAATCTTAATATCTAAAGTAACCAGAGAAGTAAATCCTAACCTCAGCAATTTCTGGTCGTGATTGGCATTTTTGTTTCAAGAAATATTCCACAGCCTTTACATCATGGTTTGTCACTTTCTCAATATTTTTAACCTCCAAAGCATCATTCATGCTAAATCCATCAATCAACCCTTGCAAAAAGGACTTGGCTTCTTCACTGAAGCTTGGAACCTCTGTGACTTCTGGAATTTCTGAAAGCTTCAGCAACCATTTAATCTGGCAGGCAGTTTTTATTTAGATTAAAACCAGACCCTTTACAAAAGCATAAAAGATGATAAGAAATCAAAAGTTCCTTTATGCAGAAAATATGAGAGTGTTCATCAAAAGAATACCTCAACAAGGACCCGATAGAAGATCAAACCATATTCGCTCATATAGGGGGCCAATTCCTTCACTTTACTCCAGTAACGACCATCTAAAGGTGACAATGCTGTTAAATTTGACAGCTCAAATTCACGAGAATGATCTCCAGACATATTTATCACCTGCAACATCAAATTCGATAAATACACTCATCAACAACCCAAATCCTTCAGACTGCACCCACTTGTTATACTTTATAAGCGAATTTTATCCGTCTTAAATGGATTTCAATATAGACCAAAGTTTAAAAAAAAAAAAAATTACGATCATTTTCCTGGAAGTTTTGGAGGCCTTCCACCATCCCAGGTGCTTGGAAATGATGGAATAAGAGGAAATTCATTATAGATCAAGGAGAAAAGGAGAGAATAACCTTTGTGGAAGAACAGCTTCTGCTGGGAGGAAGGACGGAAAACTGGACTGAGGCACTTGAGAATTGCTGATGCTGACGATTATTATACCAGCAAGGGAGATTTATGGGAGACAGGCATCTTCTCTTCGATACAGAGCTAAAGTAAGGAATTTGAGGGTTGGTTCGAAGTCTTGAGGATGCAGCGAACTCCATGGATGAAAAAGGGTAAAGCTTGAAGCCTTGAACAGAGTTGGGGAGAACTCAGGAGAGTCAGCTGAGTTCAGTGTCGTTCGCGCTCTGGTCGTTTCTTGGGTCGGTTGGTTTAAACGGCACAATAAACCCTAATTTCCAGAACTAAGCGGGTCGGTTTCTAATTTGTTTGGATTCAAACTTAGACCCAGATATCTAAACCAAAGCCCAATAGGATACTTAGGTGACGACTCGGTTTGATGATGCAGTGGCAGAAGTGCTGTGTTGTAGTAATTAATAGGTGTTCATTTATTTATTTTTTATTTTTTAAAAATATATAAAATATTAATTATAATTAATAAAAGCATATAAAATGGAAAGATATTGTTCTAAATTATAGAATTATAATAATTAAATAAGAAGTGAAGCTCTTAATGTTAAAGAATTAATGATTTATCTATACCTAATGAGATTTGTTTATAATTTAATTTAATTCAAACGGTAAAATATGAGATTTTATTTAAAAAATTAATTGAAATTAATTAAAATAAAAGATTTATAATTTTAGATAAGGTATTTTATGAAAAAGTGGTAAAAAACTCAAACAAAGAAAGCCTTTTTTTCCTTTGAAAAAAACATGTTCTTTGTATTGTTACCGAGATGCATATAACCAAAAAAATCATTATCAGTAGTGTGGCTTCCCTTCTATGTTATTGGTAGCTGTAGAATTAGAGACTCAAGGGTGTTTTATTGAGCTTAAAGTTTTATTTAGTTAAAACAGTTTGACACCGAACATACCCAAAAAAACAAAATAAAAGGGATGAAGGGAGAGGCGTGTTAAGGAATAACCAATTGATTTTAGTTTCATATGCTCTTTCAGGGATGGTAATCCTAAAAACAAATTTTCAGAAAAGAATATGGTGGCACATGAAATGATGTAGAATGGTGATGCTAACAGAAATTACAAAAGCATGGTACAAAAGCTGTTGAGGAAGACATCTATATATAAACTTCTAGTTCCAGGGATCTGGCCCTTGGTGGGGCTGTGTTTGCGATGAAATCGCTTCATGGGAACTCTGCTATAAACTAATGAGCGATGCCCACTTAAGCTCCCACTCCATGCTACTTAGATCAGCCTATCTGCGCACTGGTTATTGCTACGTGTCATCACCCAGTTAATTCCTTATCTATTCTTTCCCACCCCCAAGACTGAAGCCATACTCCAGAAGTAAGGTAACACCTCTTTGAAATTGCATGATTTCATCTTCCTTTGGAGGCTCGAGCCTTGCTTTTTTTTTTTTTTTTGCCTGAATGGATTCTGGTATAGCTTGCTATGCTCATGGGGTTGTTTTGCCTACCGTTACTGCTAAGTACTCCACTGCAATAGTGTCTCCACCATCTGCTTCTCCATCCTTCAACTCCAGGGTATGTATCCACCATCCACCATATAGATATGCATGCATGTCTTCATGTTATGCTCATAAGCTAATACTCATGGTATGTCTGACAAGGCCTTAAATCGAGTTCCCTCTTTGGAGAATCATTGAGGATTGTGCCAAAATCATCACTAAGAGCTGCAAAGTCAAGGAGCTCTTCTGTTGTGACCAGATGTGCTATAGGTGATAGCCTTGTAAGTTAAAAAGCAGAGGAGGACCTTGATTTCATGAACAAGTTATTGGATGTGGAAATCTAGTTAATTTGAATGGTTTTATGGCTTTAGGAGGAGTTTCTTACAAAGTCGACCTCAGATAAGGGGCTTATCAGCCTGATGATGTGCATGGGAGAAGCATTAAGGACTATTGCTTTCAAGGTCAGAACTGCTTCTTGCGTAGGTACAGCCTGTGTCAATTCCTTTGGAGATGAGCAGCTTGCCGTTGATTTGCTTGCCAACAAGCTTCTATTCGAGGTTAGAATTAAAAAGGCAATATTTCTTTTATTAATTTGTTGCTATGTTTCAAGTCTTTTAGATGCAACTTTGATAATGGATGATTCTTAATTTGATACTCTAGACACTCTCTTGGCAAGGAATTGCAGTATCTAATTGGAGTGAAAAGTGAGCGAAGTAGAGTTTGGTAACATAGTTCTTCTACCTATGTCCACTTGTATAAGAAATACACAGAATTACCTCATGACATGTTTAAGTTGAAGTTACCACTGAATTTTTTTGAGATTTGCGTTGAAGTAATGTCTTTGATTTGGAATGCGTAGGCCTTGACTTACTCCCACTACTGCAAGTATGCTTGTTCTGAGGAAATTCTTGAGCTACAAGACATGGGAGGTTCAGCTGAAGGTTTGAATTTCTGTCAACTCAAATCATTGGTCAAGATCTCAAATCATATAATTTGAGTGGCTACTCTTGAATTTTTAACACTTATGAACAGGTGGATTCAGTGTTGCTTTTGACCCTCTTGATGGCTCCAGTGTTGTCAACACAAATTTCACTGTAGGCACCATCTTTGGTGTGTGGCCAGGAGATAAGTTAACTGGTGTAACCGGAAGAGATCAAGTTACTGCAGCAATGGGGATCTATGGTCCTAGAACCACATATGTTATTGCACTCAAGGATATTCCCGGTACCCATGAATTCTTCCTCCTTGATGAAGGTACTTAAAACAATACACATTTAGAAAAGAGGTGCTTTTCTGGTTCTGATCTAATCACCCCGCGTTCTGCTTCTCCCTCTAAAACAATGTTTTGCTGGTTGCATTGATCAGGAAAATGGCTACATGTCAAAGATACAACAGAGATCGGCGAAGGGAAAATGTTCTCCCCAGGAAATTTGAGAGCTACATTTGACAACCCTGAATATGACGAGGTTCAATTCTATTAACTTTACTTCCTCTTATTCCTTTTGTGAAGAATAGATCATTGCTTAATTTTTATTACCATCAAAAAATCTTTGAAGATATGCATCTCTGACTAACTTCTACACTATGCAAAATGAACAGTTGATCAACTACTATGTGAAAGAGAAATACACATTGAGATACACAGGAGGAATGGTGCCGGATGTCAACCAGGTCCTCCCAATTTTTCCCTATTTCAGTCTTCATATAGTTCATATAACAACAAATTCCAGTCTGGTCTCATAGGGAGATATCAATAATTTATTATTCATTTTTTGCATATCATAGTGAAAGAGAAAGGTATCTTCACAAATGTGATGTCCCCATCTTCCAAAGCCAAGCTGAGGCTATTATTTGAGGTAGCTCCACTAGGGTTCTTGATTGAGAAAGCTGGAGGTTACAGTAGTGATGGCCATCAGTCAGTGCTAGACAAAGTCATCAATGGTCTTGATGACAGAAGTCAAGTTGCATATGGTTCCAAGAATGAGATCATCCGCTTTGAAGAAACTTTGTATGGATCCTCAAGGCTTAAAGGGGTTCCTGTTGGAGCTGCAGCCTAGGCAATATGTACTAACACTTGAACCTATTTCATACAGAAGGATTATATATTAGTGGACAAAATGCTCCAACCAATTTTAGACTTGGAGTCACAAAGCTGAGTTGCTGTCAGTTTGTTTTCTCCTCAAAAATTTCCTTTGAAGGTGTAATTAGGCTTAACAAAAATGATCTTTCAGTTCCATTGAACAATTCTCATTGGCATATATCTTATCGATGGTTCTAGGTGTTAAAGGTTTGTGTCTGAATGTTATAACTATCCAACAAAATCTCTTTACGAATCCTATGAGGTCAAGCCTTGGAGTCATCAACTTATTGGATTTCAAGGGATATTGACAAAACCTTTACATTTTCCCCTAAGTTTCCTTCACAACAAACTATGAACATGTTAAAAAATACCTGTTCTTTGCTATAATCAGTCGCAGATGACAGTAAGAACTCCAGACAGTTTGTTGAAGAATTTTCAAAATATTTCCAGGATTTGGGTTCGAACCATAAAAAGTTGGTTTGAAGCAATTGCACAGAATGCATTTAAGAAAATGTAACTTTGGTTCGAATCATAATTATATGATTCGAACCATTTACGTAAAACTAGAATCCGAAAATTTACGATTTTGGTTCGAATCACATTTATCTAATTCGAACCATTTAAGCCAGAATAAGAGATAAAATTCAGATAAGTTTCTGAAGAGAGTGAATAACTTTGAAAGGCAAGGAAACACGTGAGTTAGAATTTAAATCAAACCAAATGACTTTTGGAAGAGTTTCCAATGGATAAAAATTGAAAAGAAGTGTTTGTTCCCAATAGACATCTTAAAAAGAAGTGTCTATTCCAACATATATCTTGCCCTATAAATATGGAGTTTCTCTTCTTCTCTGATAGAGTCTTTTTGAACCCAGAAATATCTAAATAAAATAGGCCCTTTTTTGTATTACGATTGCTCGAGAAATCCCTATACAAAAACTATTGTTTTGTCGCTTTCCAAAGGATGGTTCAGTGGTTGATCTTGCTAGTGCAAAGGCGAGATCAACAAGGTGCTTCATTTCAGGTTACTTCTTTTGCATACCAGATCTGGTGAAGGCAAAATTAGCCTAAAGGAAAATGGCATTTGCAGCACGCCTTGAAGCCAATGATCTAATGATCTCATTTCTAACCCCTTATTTCTCCAACAATCTTTAGGCTAATTTATTCAGTTTTTTGAGATCGTGGCTTATTGGATAATTGAGAAGAAACTTGCATTACAAAATGCATGTGAAGCTAGGGAGTTTTGGCATGTGATAGTGACAAAAGGAAAAGGGATTTCTGGTGTGATTAACACATCTACAAAAGTGGTGGTTTATTAAATTGATTATAGTAATCGTGTGACAAAGCAATCATGTAATCAAATTGTCAATGAGTGACGGTGGATGAATCAACCACAAGATGCAAATAAAGTTCTTGAATTATAAGGTGATGATGATGCATGATATCAACACAAAAGGAAAACAAAGTGCAAACAAATTGAAACTCAATACATGAGGAATAGGTACGTAGAATAAGTTTATGCTCTTGATTGGCATGAATTTTTCATATGATTTTGTTTTGCAAACAAATTTTGAGTGGGTTTA